GAGTAACGTCCTCAGATCAGTCCATTGTTCACCGATGCCTATTGGCACAACCTCACAGCTCCCACTCACCTCCCACCTTCTGGTGTCATACCTGACTCCAGAGCTGTGTCTCTGGAGAGCCTTTCTAGGCATGGCTGGACAACGACCTGACAATATTCAGTTGTCAGAAAAGCCATTGTTTTTGCTGCAGTCACATAAATAAAGTCCTAAAGCATTAATGTTTCTGGTTGGAGATTGTAATTGAAGGAATTTACCCAATTGCATGAACACTGGGACAGACATACAATGACTATAAATCAGCACATCTCTACAACTTTCAGTAACAGTTTAGTGATCCAGAAGGACTGATAATTTGATCTTGAATACTTAATAGGTAAAAATAATTGTTACAGGTAAGAGTCAACTTCTAAAATACTAAGAAAAAGCATTTATCATGGTATACATTAGCCAATTAATACTTTTCCAAGACATAATTCTTGCCCTAAAGAGGTAACAACATCATCTAGAAGTAAAGGAAAGTGAGAGAAACTATGCTACCAGACAGATTTAATATAATAAAATCTTCAATTTGCAGTCTTATCAATATTAATGTGTATTTATCTCACAAAAAGAAGTTTGAAGAGGTTGGAGAGAATGTCCAAATTTCATTTTCAGACAAAATCAAAGTCAAAGCAAAAACCCAAAGCCATTCTCAACAGCAAAATAAAGAAATAAACAAATAAATAAATAAATCTATGGTTGTATATAAAGTAACGAGTTATGACGTGTCCAGATTCTGTAGCCAAAAAAAAAAAAGCCACCAAAATAAATATCCATGGCAAAAACTCTTTGGTACAGGAAACAATCAGGTAGTAATTGTGGTAGCAAATGAGGTTGTTTTAAACCGTCGGAAGATCATTCTCCAATGTATCAAATAAGACTATTCCTCTTTCAGCTTCAAGGAAACAAAAGGATAAGAACCATAAAAATTGGGAGTGAGATTTGTACAGAACCAAGACCTAGGAATAAATCTAGGAAATCTGAATTAAAACTGTAAAAATTTGGAGATAATGTAGAGGGAGCCACAGGATGTATTTTAAGCATTTTCAACGCAAGGTTTACTTCCACTTTACTGAAATCGGTCTTATTTAGTATGAAACTCCATTCAACACACAGATCACACATATTTTGTGCCCAAAGCAACAAAAAGCAGCAACTTGGCCAAGTTTCCTAACCCATGTGTGGATAAGACCACAAAGCATTACTTTATGGAGAAAAGCAGTTGACTTGGCAAGTCTACATGTGGCATGTTGACCTTTTTTTTCTTCCAGAAAAGATCACCATGGAGCTGGGTTCCTGAACTTCCCAGGGTTTCTGCTGCTCTAAAGTTAGAAGCCTTTCAGACTATAGCATCATGACAGCCTAAAGAAACACGAATTAATAAGTCACTTTCTTAGTTCCTACAAAACCTTTTTAGGAGCTCAGGAGCAATAATGAGTGGTATCAGTCCAGTTCTTGGTGATCAACAGCTGTGACCATTGCTGAAAGCCTCAGCACGTAAGAACAGCTGCACTTAAGTGAAAGGCTAAAGGGTTCTGTGTGTCTGGGAGGAGGTCTGATTGTCTCTTGTCCGCTCTAATAAAACCCAACATTGTGGCTTACAATGCTGTCATGCTGGCTCTCTTGTTACATTAATGCAGTTGAAAGTATTTTTAGTGGAATATAAACACACTATACAGCTCAGACCGCAGGAAGCAAGTTCTAAGCCATGACAGATTATAATAGGCCGATTTGCTAAACAAGCACATAGAAATCCTTGAGTTCCACTGCCACTTAAAGCAATGGAACAACAAAGTGAAACAGGTTTAACCCTGATACTAGGTTAAAACTCAAACAGCGTGTGCAAAGCCTTTCATTTTTTCAGGGTGTGGATTCACACACAGGATGGTCAAACCAGTTTCTGAAGAGACAAAAACTCGCAGTGATGATTTTAAACAATCAGAGAATAACTCAGATATAAAGTTGCAGATACTATAAATCATGCTATCATTATTAATTTCAAAGGAGCAAATGTTGGTACATCATTGAACTTTGCGATAATTATTTCAGACTAAATGATGTTGCTTTTTTTTTAAAGTGTATTTATTTTATTTATTTTAGATATTATTCTATGTAGCTCCCTGGTTCCATGTTTTCAGATTGCATCAGAAAAAAAAAAGAAGCAACTTCATGAAAGGACTCCCTTGCTGAAATTAAAATATTTTAGATTTAAAAAAAGTAAACGAGAAAAAGGAATATTTCTATATTATTGACCAGATATTTTAATGGCACACTGCAATTCAATATCATAGAGTCATAGAATCCTTAGAGTTGGAAGGGACCTTTAAAGTCCATCTAGTCCAACGCCCCTGCAATAAGCAGGGACATTTACAGCTTTATCAGGTTGCCCAGGGCCTGATCCAGCCATGCCTTGAAAGCCTCCAAGGATGGGGCATCCACCCACATCTCTGGGCAACCTGTTCCAGTGCCTCAGCACCCTCACTGTAAAATACTTTTCCTTATGTCTAACCTAAATCTACCCTCTCTAAGCTTGAAACCATTTCCCCTCGTTCTATCACCACAAACCCTGCTCGGAGTCTGTCCCCTTCTTTTCTGTAGCTCCCCTTTAGATATCAAGGCCACTCTCAGGTCACCTTGGAGCCTTCTTTTCTCCAAGCTGAACAGCTCCAGCTCTCTCAACCTGTCCTCATAGCAGAGGTGTTGCAGCCCTTGGATTACTTTTGTTGCCCTCCTCTGGATACATTCCAACAGCTCCATGTCTCTCCTGTACTGAAGACTCCACATCAGGACACAGTACTACTCCGGGTGAGGCTTCACCAACGCAGAGTAGAGGAGCAGGATCATCTGCCTTGACCTGTTGGCCACGCTTCTTTTAATGCAACCCAGGGTATGGTTGGCTTTCTGAGCTGGGAGGGCACACAGCTGGCTCATGTCCAGCTTCTCATTCACCAGTACCTTCAGGTCCATTATGGCAGGACTGTGCTCAATCCTTTCATCCTCCAGATTGCATTGGTAGTGGATGTTCCTTTGTTCACGTTCAAGACCTTGCACTTGGATTTGTTGAACCTCATCAGGCTCACCTGGGCCCACTGCTCAAGCCTGTTTGAGTCCCTCTGGATGTCGTTCCATCCCTCTGGTGTGCAGACTGCACCCCATGTCTTGGTATCATCCACAAACCTGCTGAATGTGCACTTGACCCCACTGTCAGTGTGATTGATGAAGGTATTAATAGCAATATGCATAACAACAATAACTATTATGGCTACTGATATTGGAATTCCTCAGACAAAACAGATCACTTCTGTAAATACACGGTAACATAGTCTTAATACTATACTGGCGCATTTGTTCTTATCATCCTACATGTGATCACATCTCTCCAGCCAGTCCGAAATTCGTGTGTACTGTGTAAGGGGAGCCACAGGCACATTCCTAACAAACATCCAAAGATTTTTAAAATTGAAAAAAGAAAGAAAAGAAAAAAAAAAAAGTGAGAACGTGATTGCTTTTCAACTAAGTATAAAAACCAGGCAGAACCCAGTGCTGCCGTGTAGAAACTGAGTAATAATGCCCTGTGCAGGTGGGGCATGAAGGTGAAACCCACAGGCAGTGAATGAGGTTGCAGGGCATGATGCACACATACACACCCACACAGCATCTGCTACTGCTATTGCAGTCAGTAGACCCAGTATCTGGAGGAGGTGAACAACATTCTTCGGAGGTGAGCTGACTCAGCTGCACAAAGGCTTCAGGAGGTTTGCCCTGACATTTTTGCTAATTATTCGTTGAATTACAGCTATCTCCGATTAAATAAAAGTAGCAGCTTGGTTGACTTCAGCTGGTACAGGAGTAGACCTGTAAGAACTGCCACCTGCTCTTTCCAGTCAATGGGTAAACTTGCATTGACTTCAATCATCCTGTAACAAATAGACCTTTAAGCCCGTAAACAAAACTGGACTAAAAGCAGCAGGTGTTTTGCTCAGAAAGGTTCTTGTATGAACTTCCAATGTCTAAAAACAGCTCCAAGATAAATAAAAATGAATCAGCACTGGTGATCTTCTATTTAGGGAAATACATTCTTGTAAGAGACCTGAACGGCTCTGGGGATCTGACCTTTCATTCATTTCTCTCTTCCTCGAAAATATACACGAAGATAATTCTTCTAATGCTCATACTTGTTAGCATCCAGCCAACAGTCAGATATCTGGCACGGTGACTGTGAATCTAAGTTTTGTTTGTATCCTTTACAAAACCAATATTTGTATTTCAGAAAATGAAGAAACTGAAATGGTAGTGATTAAAGTCCTAGAACTGACATCCAACAGGAGAGTGACAAGTTAAATTACCAGTGAAAGAAAGCAAATAATAGGCCCTTCAGGTCTGTTTTTATTAACCTAATGACCAAGGACCACACAAAACATACAACCTTTGGGCTGAGGACATGTACCACAATAAAAACGAGGACAACCAATGAAGAAATCAATCTTGAACAAACTCCATGTATGGAGCATCAGGTTCTCCACCAAATTTGTTTGATAACACTGAAAACCAAAAAGATGTACGGAAGACCTGCTATGAAAGAACACTGAAGATTCCTAGGAAAACTACACTACACTACAGAATTATTTCTTTTTTTATTATTATCACATTAATGCTGGTGATGAATTACTGATGTTGATAGATGACTCAGAAAGAAGGGACTACATGGGTTGCTCACCAGAACAGGTGATGGACATCAGCCTGATGTTCCAAGAATGTTAATGTAGGAATCATCTTCTCTTTTGTTTCTCCAGAAGATTTCACTTTCTCTGTTTCTCTAATGTATTCTGTTTTCCTTTTGTTAACTGCTATACAGAAGAACTTGCAGCAGTTCATTCCCTGCAATGCCCGAGGTCCCCCAGTATAGCCCATAATTTTGCTTGTGACTAAGGTACGTACACAGTAGCCAGACCAAACCCTTGCACAAGCTGACAATTTGGCTATTTATTACAGGCTGAATGAAGCTGGTGGCTGGAAGAGGCTGACATTTCTGAATTGGTCAGCTCAGATACAAGCAACAATCTTTTATATGCTGTGGGACTGATATGCACCTTTAATACTGGTTTGACTTTGCAAGGCATACATTCTTCGAGTATGCAACTGTTTTGATTATTTCCTTTTAATGTTTTACAAGTACCTCAAGACTCGGCTTTGAAACAACACTTTGTAAGAGGTGCAGTACCTGAATCTATCTTATATACAGAAAATTAATTGGAGTTGCTTATAACAAATGTGTAAATCCCATGAAAGAACTTAAAAGTGTTTGTGGACCACAAATTCACTATGAAGATACTTCTGGAGTATTTCCTTTCCATCTAAAACATTTATATTTTAACCAGGTGAGATACATAGAATTTTGGATTAGACTGCATGTTATTTGCTGTTGAATTTATATTGTATTCTAAGCAGTTCTGTTTTCCTTCAAAGCTTACATTGCCAGACAAATTATCTGACATCTAAATATCAAATTGTCACCACGCTTCTCCCATGCTCCTTTTTTACACTCTGTGATAAGTCAGAGCCAGATCTTTGCCACATTAGTGGAAATCTGCATAGAACCAACAGTTTTGTTTCAGAGACACTGATATAACTGAACCAGAATCCAACCTGATGTACTTACTTACACCAACACTTTATTTATTTTTAACTCTCATGGCCTAATTCATAAATCAGCTTTGCAGTGTTGTGTTCCTTTTTTTTTCCTCTACAAAGTTACAAGAGTGGCACATTTGATGGGGGATTAAAGGAGATCCCCAAGATGAATTATTCAGCAGAGCAAACAATATTCTCTAAAGAAAATGATAGCTTCTAGAAATATGGTACAGTAGGTACAGAGCCCATGTAAATACAGGAAAGCAGGAAAATAAGCATTAAATAAATGAATTGCTTTGAAACAAAACGTTTTCTTCTAGTACTTGAATCATTGGTCTATATTTATTCAAGTGAAACATTAAGGTGAAAATTTAGGGTGAAAGCTCATCAGCCACTGGCAAAACACACACTGATTTGAGGAGGAATAGGATTTCACCCCACCAGAGCAAAATATTTGTAATTCTTTCCAAACCATTTTAGCCATCAAACAAATACTTTTTTTCTTTTTTTTTAACTTTTGCTTTCTCCTCCTTCCTTTTTTGGGAAAAAATAACAAAAAATGAAAGGTAGAGTGGAAGACAATGTGGCTACAGGAAGATCATCTGGCAAAAAAGGCAGAATCATTTTCTGGCTTTGTATTTGTTCTTCTGTTTTCATAGAAAGACTCAATACACAGATGATGGTAATTCAGAAAGCAAGGGGAAAAAAGCAAGCCATCATGCAAAGTATCTCAGCTAAGGCCTATAAAAGGAAAACCACGTTTTCACTTACCAGAAGAAACTCCTCTACCTCAGCTGAATGCGAAAAGTATGCGTTGATAGGGATATATAATGGGGCTGGTCTCAGAAAGCTCTCAGAGTACAGAAAAAAACGTTTTCATTTGCCATGGAGATGAAAAGTAGGGTAAACAATTCTGCATGGCTCTGTGCTGCTGTACTTGATCAGCTCTTCACATCTAATCTAGGCAGCCATCACTTGTAAAATAGTAATTTAGGCCAACAAAACTACATACTAATGTAAACAATGTACTGTACCTAGGGATCCATACCAGCAGTCTCATTTTGCAGCAGGATGTAAAATTGAGATATCCTCAGTCTTGAAGTCCGTAGCTGAGAGAGAGATTGAAGGAGCAGAAGAAAATTCACACCACTGTCACCCTCGGCATTCCAGTGCTGTATGAAAAAGCACAAATCACCTCAGTACCTTTCCAGATTAAGTCAAAGATGCTGACATTCAAAACTTTTCCACTCATTTCTTTACTAGGGTTAGCAAGAGTGCTCACAGAAGACTAATGTCAAAAGCTAAATGGTTACTTACAGGACAAGCCCAATCACAGTGACTACGGCAAGGCAAAGGACTTTATTCTCAACCTGAATTAACTGCTCTAATGGAGACTGAGTGCCTATCTTGCTCTCCCTCACTTCATAGAATCACAGAATCATAGAGTGGTTTGGGTTGGAAGGGACCTTTAAGATCATCTACTTCCAACCGCCTGCTAGACCAGGTTGCTCACAGCCCCATCCAGCCTGGCCTTGAATGCTTCCGGGGGGAGCATCAACAGCCTTTGTGAGTAACCTGTTTCTGTGTCTCACTGCCCTCACAATAAAGAATTTCTTCCTAAAATCTAGTCTAAATCTACCACTTCCAGTTTGAAAACAGAATCACAGAATAGTTTGGGTCGGAAAGGACTTCTCACTCTTCCAAGGCAGAGGAGCTTGGAGGTGGACAAAACCAGCTAGGAATGCTGTTTGCAGAAAGGGGTAGCAAAAGTCACCTAGCACCAAATTTACTACAGGTAATTTCAGATAAAGAACATAAATCTCTTACTCACAGCTCTGAAAAAGGGCATAGCCTAGTTAAGAGCTTGAAACAACACTAAATATGTCTGCTAGAATACTTTGGCTACCTACTCATGTGGCTATATTTCCTATGAAGTGTACTGTCCGTAACAATTAAATAAGCAAGTTATCAATTCATATGATTTTACCATAAATTCTGCATAGCTTGGTGTTTTCCTTAAACTGCCTTTTCCTAGAATCTAGTAATTTAACACAATGAAGACAAAGAAAAATTAAGCTTCTAGTCCAGGGTTGTACAGAAAACCTTGAATCCATGACTTGGTTATTCCCTCGAATCTCAGAAAAAGCAACATCAAGAACCTAAAATATACTCAAAAATTCATATTTTTCCCATGTCTGGATTTTTAAGTACTTCTACTGCTCTGTCTGGGCTTTCTCATACAAGAGCATCAATCTCAGGGAATCATTAGTAAGTCACCCCAGGACAAAGTTTAGAGCTGGCCTATGCTTTCTATCTTCAGGGTGAGAAAAAAAAACATGATTGCAGTCTGGATTTAGTGGAACTCCTGAGGATGTTGGGACACTTTGAATGAGCCAAAGCAGTTGGGAAAAACTAGCAGTGACCAATGAATGAGACTCTGTCATTCCTTTTGACTGTCCCATCCACAGCTTTCACATGCAACAAAAGCATAGTTGAAGATGACAGAACACTACAGTCACACACTTGGAAATTTTGCTTTCCTTCTTCTGATTCTCTGTTCAAGCACCCTCACTGAAAGTATTCCTTGCAAATTTCTGCCTGTAATTTAAATCATGAAACTTCACTTGAAATCTGTATCAAAATCGGTATCAAAATCTGTATCAAAATAGGATTTTTAGCAGTGCAACAGCCTGTATCTCATGATAATAAATAGATAGGGCAATGTAAATAATTAGCAGAACTGAAGCTCAAGCTTATGGTATTCTCTGAGTAGCTTTCCCAATAGAACAGCACCACAGAAAGGAATTAAAACACCAAACTATCATTAGTGAAAGTAGTCACAAAAATTAGTATTTGTGAGATCAAGACATTTTCCCTCCGGATTCAGCAAAGCCCTTATGCATATACTGAATTACAAACAAGTGAGCAATTCCATTCCTAAGTGACAAGCTGCTTGAATACAACTGGAATGCCTAAGTGCTCTGCTGCATGAAGATGCCATTACTCACATACTTAATGACATATTAAGCACGTGCTTTTTATTTAACTTTTCATGTTTCCATGCCTAAAGAGAAGCATCCGACTTATTAATGCACAGTTATGAGAGTCCACACTCCCAGAATCAAAGAGAGAATTGCAGAGAAGAGACGACAAGCAGTGCAGTGACGACTTATCAGCCAAATATAATTTGATCTCCCTTCATCTTATTTTATAGGCAACCAGATTGGATGTTGACATATTCAGCCTTGTTTCACACTAGTCTGAAAAAGGACAGATAGTCCACTTGTTTGGCAGAATCTTCTCTTTTTTTTTATCCGTGTGTCCTGGCACTGGATCTGTGTGAGATGCCCACAGAGCTTTCTTTACTGATTCATTTAGCTTACTGTGAACGTCTTTTCAAATTCTGAAGACTAAACAATAGATTTGGTAAGCAAAGGGCATCCTAACAAATGCATTCAGATGTAGACCTAATAAGTCACACTACCAAGACTTCCATAAGATATTCCATTTTGGTTCCACCTCAATATATACTTAATTTAAATTCATTTTTACGTATTGCCCCAGCAAAGACAAGTTCCATGAAATCACGGACATGAACAGCAATATTTGTGCTTTTCTCCAAACTCATCTATGAATCATTTAGATGCAACTTTTATCAACAGGGAAATTTTACAACTGCATACATCCAAAGCCTATTTTCAACAAATACTGAGAAGGTAGCCATAAACATTTTCAACAGTTTTCTTCTGTGGAAAAAAAAAAAACAAACATGCATGCAAATTGAATATGCACCAGAATATTTTCTTCTAAGTAGGTTGCAATTCTGTCATCCTGTGGAGATTTTGGTGTCTCTAGAGCAGCTTCCGGCATGTACTTTGGGATCCCTGCACAACTTCAGAAATACATTCTTCTAAAAAAGGAAATGAAATAGACCAGCCCTGGCAGAGATTGTGTGCAGGAGCAAAGATAAAAACAAAACTGAAAAAAAAAATTAGAAAGCTATATTAAATGCCATATACTGTTCTCCATGGCATACTGTATTTTAATTGGATACCTTTCAGCAAGAGGGCTCTTACTGCACCTTTTGCACAGAAGAGCTCCGCATAACTTCAGCCATGTACTGGAATTGTAAGACTTATTTTTTCTTCCAGCATGAATGCATGTTTTCTACATTTTAAAGACTTTTAGAAGACTTCAGAAGACTTTTGAGAAGATTTTTAAACCTTTTGGTTCTGCAGTTGTTGATTCTTTCTGTACTAAAAAAAAGTATACAAATAAAAATCTCTAACTTCTAACTTTTAATGTTGCGATTTCTGGCATCAATTTATTTTCTGCCTATAAACCAACAAATGAATGCATTGTTAGACTGAGGGAAAAAAAAACTCAGCTTCAAAATCTGATCTTCCAGGCTTTCCTCACTTAGTGTTTCACTTGATGTCAATGCCAAACAGTTTCAAAACACATTTTTATTGCAGTCCAAGCCTTTTCTTTTTTCCCTGGATGGGTTAGAACAATAGTATGTCATCTACTCAATATTTTGCAAAGTCCAAAATTTGCATCTCTCTCATTCTTTCCTTCCCTGTAGGGGGCTGTTCCTAGGCTTGAGCTAACTGTGAAATTCTTTATAGAACTGCCTTTTAAGATTGTCTTCATTTATGTAGAAACCAAAATGGGCAAGATTTTCTCCTCTAATAGCATGTTTTCAGGCAGGAGCTACATCTTACATCTCTACTTGCCACTGGGTTTCCTCTTTATTATGAGGTCACTTTACAATTACAGAAGCTCTTGTTTCTCCCTTCTAGCTAAATTTATCACTTCTTGTGTCCTCCTTACCTTAGTCTTAGCCTTTGATGTCTGCCAACGTCCTCCTGGGGAGGTGAAAAGAGCAGAAGAGCTTGACTGTTTTGTGTAGCTCCTACGCTTAAAGAATGCACTAGAAGAAGTCAAGAGGGAAGATGTGTTACAGGGAATTTACTTCAGATGCACAAGTTATCTGCCAGCCTGGTAGCCTGTAAACTGTTCCACGTAAAGAAAATGCCCAACTGTTTTCCCCTCCTTTTCACGTGCCTGTGATGTCCAAGAGTGATGTGGAGTGCTTGATTGTGCTCTTACACTAAGAGCTTGTAAAATGTTTCGTAAGTTAATGGCATCACATTTTCCTCAAATTAAATTGACATTGAAGAAATTGGAGGGCATTTGGCATCCCAAAATTTCCACTTATCCCACTGAACTGCAAAGGTACTGGAATGTTTTTTCTCTCTATAGTACGGTATATGGATCTGGAGCTTTCATTTAGTTATTCCACAGTTGGTTAAACTTTTTGTGCTTCATTTCCAGAAGGAGATCTTCTAAGCTTCCTTCTTGCTTCTCTCAAGCACTGTCTGTGTCCTGAGTATTTTTGCAACCAGGTGCTCAGTTTCATACTATGTTTTTCCTACTTGGAAGGTTTGCCAAGACTCTTATTTAAGAACAGCTGTTCTGTTTATTTCATCTGTGTGCTTTTTCTTTCTTTTAAATACACCAAGAAGTTGTTCCTTCATTGTCTACAGGAAGCTGCAGCTCTGACTTCTTGTAACTTCCGATGATAGCACTGTCCACAGCAGCGTTTTGATCCTAGGCTGATCCTTGCACTCAGCTTGCTTTTGCTTATTGCTGTTTCCACATCTCATTACTGTACAGACACTAAGGTCTGCTGTAGCTATGGCGTCTTTTTTATGATACAGTTTTCCACAGCCCCCATTTAAGAACTGCATAATTGAGACCAGTATTTCCATCTTACATTTTACAGTGTTGTCAAATGCTCAGACGTCAAACACAAAGTCTTCTAAAATAAACTATGTATTTGACAGAGAAAATTGCCACCAGTTTTTGCACAGCCACAAGGCTGACCTGGAAAAATGTTTGCAATCATTTATTTTTTTTATGACTGACTAATGACTCCTATTTCATTTCAGAGCAAACTGTTTCATTAAAGGCTATGAACTCGTGCTCTTCCCCCATGACTTCCATGCAGAAAGTCAGCTCAGCAATACCTGGAGGAGAAGCAGATTTCAGGTGACTGATCACACACCTTTGGGACCACAGGGCTGAGCACCGCACAACTGCAGAACCCATGTGGTCACAGGCGGTAGAGACTAGCGTGAAGCCCGCAGAGCCCGACGCGCAAGGCCCAGGCACGTGGGTTTGCCTACAGGGAGAGGACGTGCTGTATGGCAGCCACCCCAGCGCAGACACAGCTGTCGCAGCGCTCAGGCTGCTGCAATTGACTCCGCTTCGCAGAAGGCAGCAGACTGCCCGCAGCACGCCTTTGGCTCTTCCCGCACACACTTCCCACGCCGTCCTGCTCCCCTTTCCCAGCGCACGGCGCTCCCGCTCGCCCAAGCCGTGCTCGGCAGACAAGCGGGGCCGGCACACCTGTGGCCACGGCTGCCCCTGCCCTGCGTGCCCCTGTCCTCGCAGCCCGGCCGCTGCCCGCTCCCCCGCGATGCCGCACGGCTGCCATTTCCTCTCCGGCACCGCGCTGCCGTCACCGCTAAGAGACACCTCAGCCTTTCCCTCTTCTTCCATTTTCACACTCCACCCACTTTTTGCTTTCTTTCTCCGTCTCTGTCACGGTCTCTCTCTCTTTCTGGACTTGTCTTTATTTGGCACTCCCGGAAGCCGACGGGCATTTCTCTCCCTGCCTGCTCGGGCAGCTGATGTGACTGACTGACACCGGCTCCCGCTGAGCAGGAGGAGGAGGAGGAGAAGGAGGAGGAGGGAGAGCGACGGCGAGGAGAGGCGAGGCGAGGGAGGGGGGGAGCGAGTGGCCGGCCACGGATTGTCATTGCAGAGAGAAGGAGGAAAAAAAAAAAAAAAAAAAAAAAAAAAAAAAAAGGGGCTGCGCGGGTCATCAAAACAGGTAATTCAAGAGCAGACAGCGCCGGGAGGGGCGGGATGCGGGGAGCAGCCGGAGCGGCCCGACCTCCCCCCGGCCGGCTGCCTGGGGCGGGCCCGGGGCTGCGGGTGCGCCGCCGAGCCGGAGCGGAGGGGCCCGGCAGGGGCTGGGCCGCAGCGGACATCTTGCGGGGGGATGAGGGCACGGCCGGGGACGCGCGGCTCGGGGATGGGCGCCGAGAGCATCTGGGTCACGGCCCGGCTGCCGGCTCGGGTCCGCCCGTCAGCCGCCACCTGCGCGGCACAGCCTTGCGCTGCCCTCGTCGTGAGGAAGTAGCCGGAGGGCGAGAAAAAGTCCCGAAAAACGGCAAGAGGGTGACGGTGCCGCTCCGGGGTCGGACTCGGAGCCCTCGAGCAGCACGAGTCCGGGGGGTGGAGGTGGTTGTCCCGCAGCTCCCGGCCCGACCCCTGTCGGGTCTTGGAATTACCCCTGCTTGTTCACGCAGACCTGGCAGCGCACCCGGCCCCTCTCTCCATCAGCGCGAGGTGATCTCCTCTTGTGCGAGGCAGCTGGAAGGCTCGCTGCTTAGCCGGGCTCCAAAATGTTGGTTGAGCCGGAGGTGTGCGTTGGAGGTGAGCGGAGATCCAGGTGCTGAGCAGCCCCCGGGTAAAGCTGTGAGCAAAGAGCTGGGTTAAACGGGATCTCGGCGAGAGAGAGCTAAAGAAAAACGTAACATCTGTATAAATGCGTGTATGTATGAGGGATTCCACAGATCCTGAAGGATGTTGTGGGGGAGCAGGAGGAAGACAGAAATCAAGAATTGTGAAGCTGAGATGCTGCGGTTTGCAGTAACTTGACAACTGAAAGGAGCACTCCCCAGAGCCTCAGCACAAAGCACAAAGCTCGCCATGACCCCAGCTGGAAATGTAAATCTGTCCTTTGCTTCGAGGGCTGCTGTTGAGCTGTACCTTATCAACAGTGAGGCTTTTAATCAGTTAAAATGCTGACTTCTTAGTGAGTAGGGGCAATCTTAAAAACAAAGTCTATCTGGAGAAAAAAAAAAAAAAAAAACAAAAAAAAAAACCATCAAGCCCATACCTGTCTTTATGTGTATTACCTAGGCATGGTTGTCATCGAATGATAGAAAATGTTTTCAGAAAATAAAATAAAATCCTGCATAGAATTAGGATTTTGCAATAGTAACATCATTTAAGGGAGTCAAGTTTGCAGGAGGCAGAGTGGGATCAATACTTCATTTTTTAATTACTTTTTTTCTAAATCTGCCAAATGTGGCAGTGGCTCCATTGTTCTGTGAAACTGCGGTCAGAAAAATAGGACTATTTTAGAAATGTAACTTTAAACATGATTTAAAATAGGGAAAGTGTTAGATGGAATGAGTTGAGACTAATACCGTACTCCCAGAGCTGGCCTATTAAAGCATTACTAATAGTTGGACGTCCAAGTTTATGCAAACTGTCTCCTACCATTTCCTTTTAATTAGCTCTTATGCAAACAATTAAAAACTCTGTTCTGATTCTATGTGTTTTCAAAAGAGGGGTTTCATGACAGCGAGAGAATCTATATTGAGCAGGTCTGCCCAAGAACAAAAAGCAATACACCTACTGTAGCAAAGCCATTTATGCTGAGCAACGTGACATTTTAGGTCTTGGGCATAACAAAAATGTCAGTCTTCAGAATGTTCTGATGATTCCTTTGTTTCTTTCCCCTCAAGTGAATGATGCTCAGATGTGGAAGGTGGACAGGCAGAACTCCAAATGTCATGAATAAAATATGTTTTCTCAATTAAATAAAAATGAAGAGAATATGCATTATTTACTATTACTGTAGAGCAGTTGTATGACATGTTTTCATTATTCTTTGTCACCTATGGCACTCAGTGCAGAGGAAAAAAGGTGGTGATTCTTGATGTATCATGAGAAGACATGGCAAGATATGTATGATCTTGTCAAGGATGCTAAGATTCCATTTATTAACAAAACCCCTTCTCATTGGAATTTCTAGTCCCAGTGTATTAACTATTTTAGCCATTTAAAATACGAAAGTCAGCCTGAACTAGAAATAAAACCATAGAATTAAAATTCCCACAGAAAAAAAAAAAAAATCATGGGAATTGGAATTAGCAGGGATTAGAAAAAGAAGTACAATGCAGAAAGGAGAACTGGATGCAGAACAATTGTGTTCAGCTCACAGTCTTGACATTGACTTGCAACATTACCTGGAGCAAGTCACAGGGCCTTTCCATGTTGCAATCTGTAGCTTGTCAGAGACCATAACATTCTGAGAGGTTTGAACTACAGAGAGAAAAATGGTGGACAACCATTAAAAAATATTCTTAAAAAATATTCTTTGTGATCCTTCATGTTTTTAAATGATGTGCGCAATGGTAGGAAACTCAATAGTTGCAGTTTTGCCTAGTCCATCATCTGACACGGGGAAGGAGAATATTCTTTGTCATATTCATTGGTCAAAAACAAAACCAAAAAAATGCCTCCAATAAATCAGGCATAAATTAGTTCAGTTATTCAGGCAGCTATTTTATTATGATAGAATCACAGAATCCTTAGAGTTGGAAGGGACCTCTGAAGGCCAGCTGGTCCAAGTCCCCTTCAGTGAACAGGGGCATCCACTGCTGGATCACGTTGCCCAGGGGCCAGATTGCTTGATTAAGCACTTGCAATATAGAGAAATAATTTGAATTGTCTTCTCGAAAATTGTAGGTGCATCTTTTGCAATAGGAGGAATGCTTGCCATCAGTATAATTTTTTCTGAGATATACAGTCAGCTCCAGCTGCTCTCATATTTTAAAAAATTAGTGCTATTGACAGATGTGTTTTACTGACTCCCAAATAAATGCTTTGAACTCAAAAGGCTCAGCTATTTTTGGAGAATGTCACTCTTAGAACTATGCCAGAATATCAACACCTCTGCTAAGCAGTGAACACTGAGATGACAAAAGCACATGAGTGCAGCTGCACCTATGGCAGGGATTCTGCTGATTCAGCTTTGTACAGCAAGAGCATGAGGGTTTTTTTGTTGTTTTGCTTTCTAACTTCTGTAACTTTTGTCACCATGATAGCATGACTTAATGGCATATGTAACACCTTAATCTGTGTACTGAGTACTTTGGTCTTTGTTTCTCCTGCAGAGGTTTGGATATGCTGTGTCAAACCTCAGGGTGTTTTTGTTACCAAAAAAGGTCCCAGTGAGGCTACTTTCCTGAATATGTTAAAGGAGAATGCTGTGTCTGACCCACGTGTTGCAGAGGGAAAAAAAAACCCCTAAACTTAGAGATTAGAGAAATTGCTTTCAAAATCCAAAGCAGCAGTAGTGCTATTTTGGGAATCAAAGGCTTTATGTGGTGTATATTAAAAAAACAGGTAAATGGTCAAGTCCCTAATGGAATAATGTCTTATTTTTCCAAGAAGACATGCTCAGATCCTGTGCATTACAGCTATGTTTTCTATTATTTTAAATACTCTATTAGTTGCTTCCTGGAAGGAATGCAAGGAACGATTTACATTTCCATGTGTGTCATTGTTTAGACAAAAGTGATAGTTGAGTAATTCACCTAAAAGCTCTGGGTCCTCTGAAGTACTGGGAAGGCTACTCTTATAAACATCTAAGATGAATCCAATTGCATCTTTCTGGGCTGAAACAGAGGAGGAATAAGAAGCTGAACATCTCAGATCTTGTACATGAGCAAGGTTACATGGATTATCATTATAACTCAGGATCTCTAAGGATTTAGTAGATTACAGAAGGAAAAAGAAAGGTCTTTTTCAGTAGAGGTGCCCATTTCATCCTGAATCAGAAATGAAGGTACAGTGCACTTCTAGGATTTCTAGTAGCACTGCAGAATCAGTGGTCTGGATTTTACGATGGGAGGTAGGCCGAGGTGTAGAGTTTTTGTGATCAATGAAGATCAAACAATGAAGCCACAGTCGTTGTGGAGTGAAGGGAGTAGAAGGATGGCAAAGTGTGCTTCAGCCTTCCTGGCTTCTCCATGCTGAGAGAAGGGTCAGTGGTTGTAGGCTGAGCAGGGACAGGAGAGCCTGAGAGCATCAGACAGAGTGCTGAGATGGTAACTGTGGCAGGACATTCTGGGGAGAGAGCTAGAGAAGCTGACTTGACTGAAATTAACCCCAATTACTCTGACATCTGACGGATGTCCACCAATACTTCTACTTGTAGTACTCTTTGTTACTCACAGTTGCTGTTGTTTCACTTAATGTGATTGATTGCATCGGAGTGATTTCCTTTGCACAGCCAGAGGAATGCTTCTTATGACTTCTGAATTCAAATGAGATACGTTCAAGCAATGGATGCATTCCAGAGTTGACTTGGCATGCCTGCTCTTGCAGGTTGAAATGAGAGATAGCTGCACGAGTGGAAGGGATTTCCATCAGTGTGAATGGTGGAGAAAGCCTCTGATAATCAGGAAATTCAAGGTTTTGCTCAGTATGGATATGCAAGCAAAGTAAGATGTGGTGGCGTTCTGGAAGGCCAACCTCCCAGCAGACAACATTGTTACTAACCCTGGTTCTGAGGAACTCAACAGTCTCATCTTTTCTGAGAAAAATAATTGCATAGTTTGTATTTTTAGAGTTTGAAACTCTATTTGTTTGGTGTTAACTTTCTCCATTTGCTTTTCTGTCACATGCCAGAAGTAGTGAAACACAATGTAGGGTTTTGTGCTTTGTGGAGTTTACTACCCTTTTGAGCAGTACAAATTCAATTCGGTTGGAATCATAGCATAAATAATCTTACTGTTCAGTTATTATGAACTGAACTAAAGCCCTTTAATAAAA